CATTTTTAAGAATTACTATCCATCCAATTTTCAAAATTTCCCAAAACTTTGCATTACCTTTGATACAGTTCTTTTCAATCGGGTTTGACTGCCTTTGTTTCTGGAAAACAAGTCTGCTCTGTGCACAATGACCTCATAGTTGTATCTAAAAACATGATATCGAGAATATCAGTTTTATTTCAGTCTTTAATTTCTAAATCTGTGTATATTCGGGTGTTTAAGTCTGTTTGAATTAGATTTCAGCGAAGCGGATGGCTGATGCCTTTCTGCACTAATTCCCATCACGTAGAATCTCTAGTACTTCTTCCTCTCCACGGAGGTAATACAACCGTATGAAACTCCGATCCAATATTTGGATTAATATCAAATGGAGAAAACAAAACAAAACCCATGAAGCTGAGCAAGTATAGTTATCAAATCAAATGATGCAATAACATCCGGATTAACAAGGTGATTGATGTCTCACGGGGGACGGGGGAGGGGGCACTCAGATTCAGCATGTTCACTTGAATCGTGTTTTGAATCGTGTTTTGAACCCCCTTCATTAGTGAGCGCCTCTGCATTGTGACGTCATGCCTTTCACTTCCGAGCTCTGAGCGTTACTTAGCTTGAAAGCCAGATTATATTGACTCGGAGAAAAGGGCTACATTATCCAATCTACTGCATTTAACTGGCCGCACAGGGAATATGAAAATGGAGATAATACTTTTGACGAACGTAAACATTGTGCAATAAATTCGTATTGATCCGTCAGCACGCGATGTAGTCTGTACATTCATGCCTAGTATTCGATTTTGCATTGCAATTTAATTTATTTAACGATTATAAAATTGTCCAAAGACAAATTTAAATACTTTCATTCATTTTCTACATGTGCCTCATTATTATTATTTATTGCTGTGGGGGGGGGGGGGGGGGGGGCTATCCATGGAACCGCACTACTGATTATTTTTTTATATTCCCAAGATGATAATGATTGGATTTATGCAAAATATTAGCTGCTTATGAGTCGCCATTATGGGAATTCATGGAAACGAACCAACAGTTAGGGAGAATTGAAAAATAAACATAGTTTGCCGGAAATTATACAAGATGGTCATGTATGTCGTGCCCACGAAGTATACATTCCATGTAAATAAGGAAACAAAACTCGGTTTAAATATAGGTTTAAGGTAAACTCATTTTAGCGCTCATACAATCAGCGGCGCCATGCCACCGGCAGCAAAATAATAACCTGTTTACGTCATCAATCATCTTCTGATATCGCTTGTAAACTGTTGCGTGAAGTGTCACCTGCACATTCAAAACACGGGAAGTGGAAATGGAAGGCCCTTATAAATAAGGCTAAGGGGTGACCAAAATTGAGATTGTTTGCATTTGGTGATCTGTTGTGGGTGAAGCGAGGAGCTCAGGAGGATACTACAAGTAGTTTATGAATTATGGTTGGATGAATAACAGGGAGCAAGGTGATTGATATCAAGAATGAAGGGGAAGAGATGGATGAAAGGGGAGAAAGAGAGATGAGAGGAAGGGGAAGAGGAGGGGGATGAGGACGAGGAGGAGGAGGAGGAGGAGGAGGAGGAGGAGGAGGAGGAGGAGGAGAGAGAGAGAGAGAGAGAGAGAGAGACGAGGTTTTTTTGGCCAGTATTATTTATATTAAAAAGATAATTAATTTGGGGTTACAAAATTGTAAATATCTGTCGCATTTTATAACACAAAGAAAATCAGACATACAAAACAAGTAATACGTGGGTAAGTGATCGAAAGTTATGCTTGAATTGTTTTGATGATATTTGATAATGTCTTAGAACTTAATTTAACACTGTCTCAAAAACTTATGTTGATGAATTCACACAGAGATGCACGACTATTATTATAGGGATAAAGAGATAACTTTGTGTGTTTTGTCAAAATCTCTCAAAAGATTGGCAAAACGCTCGGATGGTGCGGGTCTTCGGAGCCAAATTTATTGGCAATTTGTTTTTTCCCAGGTCCCTCTCCATTAGGATTAAACAAGAAACTGCATCATCCTGATCATCGAGTAATGAGAGTATATTGCCACAATATTGCTGGTAATTGTGTAAATACTATCCGGGGATCATGACATTGTTGACTCGACGATTCCTCCTGATAACTTTGAATTACTTTGCCATGCATGCAATGAAAAATGAATTTGCGTATCTACTAGAACCCCTTTTTTTTCTTCTACCCAAACGCGATCGCAACTATTTTCGAAAAAGGTCACGCGCAAGGCTATTTTTCGAAAGTACATTTTCACAAACATTTTGCATCGCTTTCATTTAAACGTAGATGGCGGTATTATAGTTGCATGCTTTGCTGTTATTGGGTCCAGCTAGGTTTATCTTCACCCTGACGCATGAATCACAATCATGTGATGCTTACCATGATAATTATAAGTTGGTTTTAATGAGAGCCGAGCAATTAGGGAAACACGTCAGTGACAGTTTAAGCAAAATCCGATGAAAAATAGGACAGTTATGAATAATTGGAGTTGTCATCAGCGAAGCACAAATTGGCAACACTGCGACGTATCATGCGAGCCCCTCTCCGATTTGCTCTTACAGACAATATCATTACCTTTAATTTTCTTAGTTATTGATGAATAAATAGGTTTGTCTTATACAGAGGTTGAATAACAAAATATATTTGCAACAAGTAAGGAGCACAATTATTTTTGGTGCCCAATTCGTGAGAAAATAGTGAAACAGAGAAAACTGACATGGTATATTAAAGGTAATACAAAGTTTTGGGAAATTTTTGAAAGTTGGGTGGATAGTGATTCTTTACAATTTTGATATATTTGGATGCCCCTGCGGATGTATTATAATCACTAGAAAACTTAACCCATAAAACACTTCTGCTTACGAGAAAAATTGAATATAACAATTTACCGGTGCTCCCGGTAAATGTTGATAAATTTCAAATACCGCCTACGGCCGTAAAATGGTAGCTGCAACCATGAAAATCTCAGAATCTGTAGTTGTGATATATAATTTCCAAACGGGAATAGCTAATCGGTCGATTTTAGTCAAGAAATATTGTTTTATAGCTTGATTACTATCTTGACCTTGAGAGGGAGCTATACAACATAAAGAGATTAATATTTAACATTTCATAACTTTGGTCTCGATTTCAACCGCGATAAAAATCACTCTGAATATTGTAGGATCGCATATGCTTCCCATTTGTTCATTTGAACCAAATCCATGACCCCATACCAAAACTTTGTATTACCTTTAAGACATGACATAAACGCATAAATTAGATTTACAAGACAAAGGGAACAATAATACGCAAGGGACGAGGGGAACAGGAAACTACAAAGATATATATTTAATACGCGAAGAATTATTGAATTTATAATAATCTAGAAGAACGATTTTATTTATCTATCACATGAATTAAGTGATGGGGCAAGATTGCAATAATTTTTTTAAGAGTGTTCCAACATATTTGGGGGAAAGGGTTTTTAAGAAGAGGTAAATGGAAGTCACCACAATGACTAGTTTTCTAATTGTCCGGGGGTGGGGGAGGGGGGGGGGAGTAATTGTTCTTGGGGTAATTTTCCGGGAGCTAATTGTTCTAGGGGGTAATTGTCTTGATACGATATATATATATATTAGTGCAGAAGAAATAATGAAACAACAAAAAACCGTAGGAGAAGCAACGGTTGTTTTCTTTTTTTTTTCTTCTTCTCCGTTTATCTTTTTTTCGTCAACCACCGCATGACTATATATATATATATATATATATATCCATAATGATGTAGGCCTAATCAAATCAGCGTGTTGAAAGAGAAATGAAAAAAAAAAAAAATAAGAAGTTCTTGCGAGTTTCATGCTCATTTCCAACAGTATTATATACTTTATAACATTGTACTATATACATCGGCGGGCTTATCATTCCTTCAAAGATATTGAATGATAATTATCTAAAGATCCACTGGCTTTATTCGGAAGTTAGACTGGATTAGACTAGACCTTATCTTTGTTCCTATTCTATATCTATTTGCGATTGGAGTTATCTTTTTGCAAATAGACCTAAGGCATTCGGACATCAGCGGAATGCAGTACCATTTTTAAAGAGACCCCCTCCCCTTTTAAAATAAATAATGTGGAATATATTATCATAGGCATAATATAAATCTCCAATAAAAAAAGTACTCGCTTCTCTTAAAGGTACTAAGACCAGTATTGGAAACGCCCCCATTTCAAAATATGAAATGGAAGCTCTTATTACCAATAATGTGAAAGATGTTTTGACTAATACATGATGATTTTTTTTTACCGGGAAACCGCCTACTAATTGATATATTTGGTAATTAGTTTATCTATTGGGATGTGAGAGATATTACGCACGTGCGCGCATGTGTGCGTAGTCCTCATCTTTCTGTGTAAAGTGCTTGTAACTTTACCAAGACTGGGCTAAATTTCTTATCATTTTGATGATTCCAGAACCTTGCAGTACACACCAATACTTATATGCTAGCCTGATCAACCTTTTCTGATCGATTCCACAACGTTTCTTTCACAATGCAATCGCATGACCAGAACTGATCTTTATCTTTAAACATATGAGTAGAAAGAACAAAAAAAAAAAGGGACCAAATTCCGATGCAATCCCTGTTTGTGTCTCGTGTATTTCATAATTGTTGTGACTTTCAACATGCATGCATGGAGACTTCGGTGGTAAGCGCTTAAGTAACGTTTTTTAAAATTATTATTATTATTATATGATTATGGTCATGATTTCGTCAAGTTATTTGATATTAGTCTGGTGATTCAAAACACACGAGTTTAATTTTATCATTACAATAGAACAAACCAATTATACTTCTAGATATTTCTTTCACGATAATATTGTATTAGCTATAGGTCCTTGACTTTTATTTCCAGCAGATCGTCATGAACTTCAGAATTTGTGTAAAACCACAACAATTGTACGACCTACATATCGACGTTATCTTTTTTTTAGCCCCGAGAATACAGTAACATATTTGACTTTGCCACTCAAGATCGCGATTAAATAACTGTGCATCCCTCGCACGCATGGTTCATAAGACTATTATAATTGATCTTAAGCAGCTGATGCGGGCAAGCAAGCAGGCAACAAACGCAAGAAAATGGAGGGACTTTTTAAAGCTGTCTTTGTACTCCTAGGTAACTATACACTTCTGTAACCTGCTATATGATGTGTGCGTGGGTTTCTTTCTTCAGTCTTACGGTAGGCAACTAGATAAAGTATGTGTTGACGGACAAGTCTTCTTCATGTAATAACATTACATGTAACATTCGCGCTGCACACGTGCGGGACCACGTGCATCATTTTGGGTAACATATTCTCGCAGTACACGTACCGTGACGTACGAGCTAGCTTTTGTGTAGTCTGCATGCGCAAACTTTATTCGACAATTGGCAAATTCAATAAAGGCTTGAACCCTCAATCCGTCGGTTTCTGACTGCAAAAATAAGCAAAAAATAACGAAAATAAACAGGAACCGCATAAGTATAGGGCCTTATGCACGGGTTCCGCCGTCTGTAGTATCATATTTCAGAAGTTGTGCTATATTGTACGTGTTAAGAGTCGTACGATCATTGACCTATAAGAATGAGCGATATTAACAAAGGCCAATTGTGTTGGCAAGTTCTTGTGTGTTAAAGATAATAGCATTTCAATGGACGTTGTTGTGTGCAAGAACAGCTAGATCCTATTGTTGTTTAATTTGTTGTATTCTTTGTATTGTTATGCTATGTTTGTTTACTTTGTACCATTATCATGAGATGTCAAGCCCTTCTGGGGTATGAGAGTACACTACTCTCATACCCCAGAAGGGGGGTCGATCGCGAGAGTCAATCAATTCTATTCTATTCTATACTATTCTGTTATATTCTTTTCTATTCTATATATGGACAAACTGGTCAAGCCAGAGCTATACGCGACTCATCGGATCATTATTTAATTCCAATATTTTGTGTATAGTCTGGGAGCCTGTCCCGAAATAGTTCTACCTCGCATACTAATTTTGGACGTATCCTGACCATTATGTATTCACAGTTACGTAATAATTATGTAAGCATCTGTGTAACACATTAGTGAACCGTTTCAGCATGGCAGTCACATATAATTATGATATGATAGCCGAGATACTGGCTCGGAAGTTCCTTTATTATGCCTTGCCAAACAGATACTATCTGTTGTCAATGCTGGGTGTGTTTATACATGAATAAATCTTTAAAAGTAGTATTGTTTTCTTGCTTTTGAGAAAGCAATACAATTTTCACGATCAATAGTATTTATTAATTTGCCACCACATTGCACTATCAACTGTAAAGGTTTACTGTATATGCCATTGTCGTAATTGTAACCAAATTTAATGCATACATACGTCTTTTTGAATAGGTCATTTTCGAAATGTAACCACATTTAATGCATACGTCTTTGTGAAGTGCCTCAATACAAATTATTTCATTCACCTGATAAGAATAATAGAATTTCAATAGACAGAATTCGAACAGCATACATTAGTTGTTGCCAGGTAGGACAAACATTATGGCTTGACCTACCTAACAACACTTAATATATGCAGTTTGCATTCTGACTATTGAAATACTATTATTCTTATCAGGTGAATGAAATAATTTGTATTGAGGCACTTTACAAAGACTTATGCATTCAATTTGGTTACATTACGAAAATGGCCTATTAGCTCGAGGCGAATTGTTCCATTGCATAAATTATTAGGTATGACACACGTGACTTGCCCTACCTAAAAACACGTAATATCTGGGCAATTCTCGCTACCCCAAATAGCGATTCTGCCGAGATCCGGGGAAAATCCTGAAAACGCGCATTGCATTATGGGATAGCTTTTCGACATTACAGCTTCCTGTGCAGGCGTTCGTGATCACAACCCTCTCTTTCACGGTAGAGTTTAACGGCCTTTTGTGCTAAAGTCACTAATTCTGCCCGAAGCTTTCCATTGCATATTATAATCTGTACAAATTACACTGATTGGCATCGATTTTAGCGTGCGTGAAAACTCTGCACAGCGAACACAGGCGCTAGCGCCAGCGGGATGGGACTCTATACCGGAAGTTGTAGTGACGACCCGAGAGAGTGAAAATTACCTCGTCTCGCGAATTTCGAGATTTTCGTACCTATTTAGGGTAGCGAGAATTCCACGGTAACGGAAGGACACTCAGACAAGATTTTTGAACTTCAGGTTCATACTAAAAGAACTGTTTTATTAGTATAAGATGTGAAACAGTACAGATATAATACCTATATAAGTGCCTTTAATTCTCCCCCAAAAAATTGTCATTATAGTTAAGTAGTTTAAGAATGTGCATATTAATTATCTCGGTAACGGAAGGACATAAAAATGGACATGGTTTTTCCAGTTAATTAGTGTTTATCCAAACTTTGTGAAGTTGATGAAGCTTTCCACTTGACTGAAACACATTTTGTTCCCCATAGTTTAATACATACTAATAAAACATTTCTTTTAGTATGAACCTGAAGTTCAAAAATCTTGTCTGAGTGTCCTTCCGTTACCGTGGAATTGCCCATCTGCAATATGCAATCTGCATTCTGACTATTGAAATACAATTACTCGTAACGGGTGAATGAATAATTTATATCAAGGTTTCATTACAAAAATGTCCTATTCAGACCGTCATTTTGAACGAGAGAAAAAAAGAAAGAAACAGTGACATGTGTATGCCAAAATTTCATGGAATATGGTGAAGAAGGAAAGCAGTAAAGTTGGTTTAAATGAAGAGGATGCTCAAGACAAGAAGAAGACAGTGTCATCATAGCGCGAAAGTCGGAAACCCTGACTTTAGATGATGATGATGATGATGAAATAGTTGAGACTAAAGCTACTGCCTTTCTTTTCGTCTTTTAAAAACATGTTTCAAGAGCGTGCCCGTTGGTAAGGCATTAATTCTCATTACTAGGTCTCTCGGAGAGGACCTTAAGCCGTCGGTCCTCTGGTTGCTTACTGAAGAAGCATTTATGCTTTCCTAGCAGTCAGGTAAAATAACCACCACTACTACTACTACTACTACTACTACTACTACTACTACTACTACTACTACTACTACTACATGTACATGTATATCTTTATTTCCTTCCAGTGGCACTTGTATTCCTGCGGTATCTCGGATCTAACGATCCCGTTCACATTGATCCTGTAAATCCGACTGATCCGATCGTTTTACCCCCTGGGGTCCACCGCGACGTACTCATTATTGGTTAGTTATAACTCTTTTATACTTACGACCTATGCTCGATTTCAACCCACTTTGGGCTGTCCGTTATGAAAGCGGAACGCTATCAAGATATTTTTTGCTGTTGTTGTCAGCCTTAATTTAATTAGGATCTGAGAAAGAGAGAGAGAGAGAGAGAGAGAGGGGGGGGGGGGGGGGGGAAGGGAGAGAGCGAACGAGCGAGAGCAACATGAGAGAGCATGCCACATCAATTTTACTTTAGTTCAACAATCTACATCGGATTCCATAAAATAGTTTCAGTAAACTGACCAATATAAATGAAACGGACCAATATAAATATATATATATATATATATAAATAAGCCACTTTTGAGATAATATCTGCGCATGGGCAGATACACTATGAATATGGTGGACAAATAAAGAGGACACAATATACAGTTCCTCATTCTACCCTCAACAATTGCTGTGGTAGACAAAGGAACATCCCTTCACTGCTATTATGTAAAAATAAGTAGAACAGGTGCATATGCATGTGACACCTGTTCTACACATTTTTACACATTGAGGGTAGAATGAGGAACTGTATATTGTGTCCTCTTTATTTGTCCGTCATGTTCATTGTGATAACGGTGATTTATAAAAATATTAAATCAGAGTAGTAAGATTGGACCAAGATCAAATTCCAAAACTGCAAAACACGACGGGGTAATGAAAACTCAGGAAAAAAAAAAATCGTTTGTTCTTCAATTTGTAGTAATTGATGTTAATTGTTGCTAGCTTATGAATATAGCATGCTTTGGAGCGAAACTCTTCACATCGCCTATACCCTTAGAACATACCTATAATTTCTAATCATCACTACAGGTGGTGGTCTGGCGGGGTTGTCGGCGGCGTTGGAGCTGGCAGAGAGGGGTTATAATGTGACCGTGAAGGAGGCCAGTCCAATGCTTGGAGGACGTCTTAAATCTACTGAGGTCGACATCTTGGGAGAAACGTTCAGAGTAGACCACGGCTTTCATGGTAAGTTTGAAGATAACAGCAGAAGACAGAGGGGACGGACAGTGTTAAGAAAGGGGAAAGGGGAAAGGGAAGGAGAAGGAACACGAAATAGCAGCAAAACTGTATGTTCTTAAGAGCATGGCTCTTTAAATGTTTACTTTGATGTTTACTTTGATGTTGAAGCATAAAAATATTCCAAATATGACATGTACCAGCTTAAAAATGAGGACCCAATTGTTATGCCACATGTTGGTGTAGTCCAATATTCATATTTCTGTGTAGGCATACAGTGCTTGTTACTTTACCAAGACTTGGCCAAATTTCTTATCATTTTGATGATTCCAGAACCTTGCAGTACACACCAATACTTATATACTACCTGATCAACTTTTTCTGATCGATTCCACACCATTTCTTTCAGAACTCAATTTTATCTTGAAGTAGGGGGTAGTTATGTAATATAAGCATACTAAGTTGGATTATTTTCACCTTTGCAGCATGGTTTTACAATTACTACACATTCAAGGATATACGGCACCGCTTAGGCATCAACGATAACTTTCAGAGGTGGGGAGCAAATCACTTCCGGTTCAGGAACTATAAGGATGAGGTCATGGAAAGTAAAGGACCCTATCCTTTAAACGTTATAGGTGAGGGTAATAATGATGATCATTCGGTAAACATTTAATTCATACATTTTTCTAGTATCCTTAGGATTTGAAGCTTCGGAAGGAACGGTCATTACATTAGTGATACAACTGTAGGGAGATACCCTTGTTATACCCTTTGCCTTTGAGGATTCACTTGCTGACGTAGCGCGGCTCAGCGATGCGCCCTCTGACGAATTCGGGTCGCTATTCATAAACATGAAGAAGGGGCGGTATTCATAATTTATATTGGGGGTCATTACTCATGAGGACCGCTATTCATAATACGAAAGAGGGTCCTTTTCATGTTCTATATTCGCTATTCTTCTGGTATAATGAATAGCAACCCTTTTCTCGAATTATAAATAGGGATCCCCATGAATAATGACCCCGATTTTGTATTTTGAAAAGCGACCCTCTTCCTCGATTGTGAATAACTGTCATTATGAATAATGATCCTCATGAATAATGACCCTTTTCTCAAATTATGAATAGCGGTCCTGACGAATAGCGGTCCTTACGTTTAGTGGTCCTTATGAATAGCGAGCAGATCCCGATATTGTACACCGGTGCTTTAAGTTTGCAAATACTGATTAGAATTAGTATGCGCTAATTGCCATCACTGATAACAGGCAAAATAACGCCTCGTTTGTAATGGATATAAATCGGTACCGGGCCCCGTGTAGGCTTGCTTTACAGACCATGTACTAGACAGCAAGTCTTTACTTGGAAAAGTGTTTTTAGGTAACTTTATTCAAGGATAATATAGAAGATATTAAATGGCAATATATAATTTGGGAGAGAGATAAAAGAAGTGATAGAGAGGAAGAGAAAATAACGGAGAAAATGTATATGTACAGAGAGAGAGAGAGAGAGTTTAATCTTATGGTTCCACTTAAATTATAAGCCTATGCAGTGATTTTTCTTCTTATTTTGCTGATGTTTCCTCATTGATATTGCAGCCACGCTCCTGAAGAGCCCTAACTTCAAGGTGTCAGATATTTTTGACATCGTGCGTATATCTGTTTTCTTTGCGTACTACAATCACGACACCGTCTATCAGAGATATGGAAACATCACATTTGGTGGGTACTACATAAAACATTTCTCATTGATCCTTACGTATTCACATTTGATAAAAAATGTAACTGTTTTTTAAAATTTTTGTGCCACTAGATTTACTGACAAGTAATGTCAACAGGGGTAAAGTTTGAATGTCGTATTCCTAGTTTAAATGTTGGAGTGGAAATGGAATATTGCACCTGGAAACAAGCGTCAGATTTTTTTTTTTTACAAACAAAAAAGAGATAAAGAAAGAAAGCAAGAGAGGAAGGAAGATATCATTATAATGATGATAATAATAGAAACAACAACGAAAACCATAATGTTGATGATAATAATATGAAGAAGACGATGGGATTTGCCACCACACTAGTAGCTACGGTTCTTTAGGGTTTGACCCTGACAATTTGATAAGCTGAGGCGGAATCCTCCTTATAGAAGAGGAGGAGGGCAAGACAGTGGTCGATCAATTGTATCGACTTCCAATAGGCCTTCTAATAGGAAGGGATTTAATTCGGCTTTGGCCCATATTGGATGCGTATGTCGAAGACTATCAATCGAATTTCCATCGTGTTTTGGAGGAAAATATTCTTACATCTTGAACAAAAAAGGGTTATTTAAAGCTCATCTTGAGCTCTGTTATGGGAAGCGTAGGTTAAGAGAACATGGCTATAATTCATTCAGGATTGTTTATCATGAAGTAGATTGATTGTTAGAACCAGTAAAATGAAAAAACCTCACAAAATCTTGCTTGCAATCATCTTCAATAAAACCCCAAACTCTCATTTGCACATAGTGACTGCGCATGGTGTCAGGCCTAATTTACCTTGATTTATCTTGCTATGCTCATTACTCAGCCCCTATACATTTTCTACCCAAATCGTTAGGCACATGTAATTACTTTTTGTAATCTTGAACATTCAGTGTAAGTTTTGTTGGATTCCTTGAAAATTTATTTTCTATCATGACCACAACTCAAGATTGTATTGACATTTGTCGTCTATACTCACGTCATCATGGGGCCAATAGCTTTTCAAGAGCATGATTATATTACCTGAAACACATTATTGTATCAATATGACAGCAATGTGTCAGTGCGCTCAAATGATATTGTTCCATGGTTTGCAATATTATTGTTTCAATTTTTTATTCTTTACTGACGTACTCTTGCTTTTGTTGTCTTTTTTCTTCTAGATGAATGGACTGAAATAGAAGGAGTGCCCACTTGGTTTGCTGATACCGTGCTCCGCCCAGCTCTCTCCGTAACTTTTAATGAGCGAACTGTGCTTAACGCCGCAGAGATTCTGATGTATTCGCACTTTTATTTCACTGGAGATAGTAAGGTGATAACTGCGTTCTTTGTCTGAAATAATGTAAGATTCATATTATCTGGCTTGTTCAATGATCAAGGAAACTCCTCTGAATATTTTTGATTGGTTGTGAACTTGAATCGGACTGCTTCACAATCATATAGGACATTTAACAGTTGTACGAGACACAAAAAGAAAAACAAACTGCGTCTTCTATCCATGAAATAGTTTTTACTATCTTACTCTTGACTGTTAAATAGTATAGATATATTGACTTCAATGAGAGGCATCGCTGTTTCTATAGACTCAAGGGGATGTTACATCCTGCTATAACCCCGAGGCGCACCGAGGCGGGCGGCGCACCGAGGGGTTATATCAGGATATAACGTTCCCGAGAGCCAGTATAGAAACAGCTACGCTTTGAATATTAAAGCAGTCCATATATCTTTTATATACCGAATTCACAAACATATCTACAAAGAATTCTTACGTTATCCCTTTCTTGAGTAAAGACTGGTTAAAGCCAAACTGCCCTACTTGTAGCTACTTGCTCCCTCTATAAAGAAAACAATGCCTAATCGGTGCCCATTGGTCCCGATAAGCTTTAAAACATCACTGCAAATCTCAGACACTGTCCGTAAATCTTCGCTGGAAAGTTGCCTGAATGTAACGATCATTCGGGCATCGCAGACAAAAAGCACTGTATGGTATCCACGCTCGCACAAAGAAACTTTTTACACGTAAACCAATGGGGATCTCAGCAAAATTTATTGATGCGGCCCATTATCCGGGGCTATTGACCGGTAGGTGGGCATGCGGGCATCTTTAAAAAAAACTATTGACCGGTAGGTAGGCATGGCTAAAATCATAGATTTATTCAACAAACAAAAGAGAGGTATATAATATGTACTTCCATCCTGTCTCATTAAAGGCTGATCAACGTTCGATAGCCACAGTGGACCATCGTACTGCTGTCTTTGACCCGTGGGAAAGGAGACTAAAGTCACTCGGCGCTAAGTAAGTCAACTCGGCCCTGTTTTTGTAGAACTTTGTATCAATACCCAGATATAATTATTGTAAAAAGCTATTGAAATTTACTGCATTATTTCGATTGACTGCTGGGGAGTTTGTTATAGAATCGTGGCAGTCGTTATTTGGTATTTGTAACTTGTCACATGTTTCATGCAACGGGGCCAGATTAAATATTTGCTTAGAAGTGTGGAGCACAAGTGAATCCAGGGGTGTTGCTTGATTTAGGGGGTGGGGGGGGGGGGGGGGTGACCAACAATAGACAAGGGATGTTCAATTACATTGCATGCTAAGAGGAAATGAATTCAAAAGTTAGTAAGCTTGTAGCACGAAAATATCAATCCAGACAAAGAGAAGTCATAGAAGATCCTTAAGTTTACCCCCGATGATAAGACGGATGACTTCCTGTATTCATTTACCTATCGTTTAACCAGGGAAAGACAGTGGTGATGAAACATATATAAAATTCACAAAAGTTAATTCTGTCATTGCACAAAATGATGCTGAAACACCGTCAGAAGTTATTTTCGTTATGTTGTTGGAATCGTTTCTTTTTCAAACTTCTATATTTTCACGATGCGCATATGTGTTTATGTGTAACTATTCTGAGTGGATAATCACTGAATTTTGAATGCAACTATGTTACGGTATTCGAGCACCTTTACGGAATTGTTCCAATTCGTATCTACTCATTTTTGTTTTACAGGGTAGAGACGAGTGCTCCTGTCTCTGATCTAAGGTTCGCTAGCAAGGATAGCCTGGTGTCAGGGGTATTACCTGGAGCACAAAGGTCATATGATCATGTGATCTTAGCAGCCGACTTATCGGCCGTAAAAACGATCTTTACCGAAACCAGCCAAAAATTTCCGCGCAATGAACACATGGCCTGCATCCAAAACAGGCTCCAGCAACTTCACATGGCGCCGTCGTACAAGGTTATTAGGGTGTGGTTCAATAAACAGATCTCGCCATCACATCCCGCCATTTTACAAACGTCTGAGTACCATCCAATCAACTTGGTCGTACAGTATCACCTGATCGAGAAGAAATCACGTGAGTGGAGTCTGCGGACTGGTGGATCTATCATTGAGTTTCACCTGTACGCTTGGTCGTACGGCGACGTGAAGGACGAGGACGTGTGGGACACTGTTTCACCTACCGTGAGGGAAATCTATCCCGAAATATTTGTCGAGGATTTCAAAAGGTTAGGTCAGTTTGTCCATTCGGGGACGAACTTTGCGTCGTTCCCGTCCAGTCTCGAGCACATCCGACCAACTGTTACTTTCCCATCCGAGTGCGGCGTGACGAATTTGAACTTTGCGGGCGATTGGTTGCACACCGATTACCCCTCAGCCCTAATGGAACGTGCCGTGTCGACGGGTAGAATTGCAGCCAATCAGGTGCTTCTCTCAGATCACGTGAGGCAGGTTCCTATGCTTGTAGCGAGTAATTACGGACCAGGATATATATGATCGTCCGTAGTATATATACTAAAACTCTAATCAGGGTAGTTGTGTGTAATAGTCGGCTCCAAAGAACTTTAATCATCAAGTCAAGTGTCATGTTTTGACAATTATTTAAAACATGTGCCCGTTTATAAGAAAAAATGATTTTGGAATCTAGGCCTACGACGGAACGAAAGGAATATTTCAATATATTTATAAACATGGAAATACTATTAACAAAACGAGTAACAACTAATCATGATATGATAGGTTGTTCTAGGTTGTTGGGAAGTTGTGTAGTAATTTATTGATTTCGTCATCTTCAGATTGTTTTATGATTTCGAATCCTTGCCCTTTGCCTTTAGCCCTTTGATTATTTTGTGTACTACATTTTCTTCAATTTTAAGCTCCTTAAAACAGACCATTGATACAAATGAGCAATGCCAAACGGAGAGTACTGGGGCTAGATTAAGCCTATAAGTTAATCCCACAATATGGAGAAGGTAATGAAGAGAAAGTTGAGTTCTGGGGAGAGTGGGTGAAAAATAATTTGTGAACATTATCATTGTTGATATATGCTAGTGTGGAAGAACATCAGATACAAAAATATTCCCTGAAAAGCATAGCTCTTCAAATGCCTCCATATTCTAAATATGACAAGGAACAGCTTAAAAAGAGGCCTAATTTGTATGCCACATGCTTTTTAGTCCCATATATACATCGTTCTGTGTACAGTGCTTGTTCCTTTACCAAGACTTGGCAAAATTTCTTATAATTTTGATCACTCCAGAACCTTGCAGCTAGTACACACCAGTAATTTGTATATGCTGTACAAATCCGTTTCCCCCTGATCGATTCCACACCATTTCTTTCACAATACAATCGCATGCCCAGAACTCAACTTTACCTTTAAAGTGACTTGGTAACATTGTCTCAGATTCTGAAGCAAAATCCTGGATTAAATAATAATTAAATAAATAATGAAACAATTTCTACAATCATATAGCGTCTGTATTTTTGTTTTATTTGATCTAATTGATGCACGTGTATATCAGCTTGTGTAATAGCAAACGATCGTAAAAAATAAATCTGTATGTCATGGTGTTGTGTTGAAAAGAGACAAAGTGATATAGAGAAGGTTATGTTTGTTCAAGGTGATTTTTTTTTTACTGAGCGTTCCCACCACCTGGGGATTCATAATTCCGAAAGTAATAATTCCGAATAATAGTTGCAGTTATTCCGAAAGTTCTTTCATACGAAGGTTCATAATTTCGAAGTTTTATAACTCCGAAAATGAAATGGCGTTCACTAATCCAAAGGTTCCTAATTCTAAAAATCAATAACAGTGGTCTATATCAATTATTAATTTTACACATATTTCCCTTAACTTGGAAAAAAGGAAAAGTAGTAGCTATGATAAGCAAGAGTATGGATTATATTGGCATTGGAATGCGATATGGTTGATATAGATATATAAGCATCTCAAACTCGGTAATTAATTTATTTTAGTTTATTTTAACCATAAAAATGAAAGATGTACATACAAATGAGCAACATAGTAAACATAATACGGTAAAGGACATCCTTAGAAGCAAATTGCTTGTGGTGGGGCCTTAAAAAGAAAAATAAACTACACATAAATTATACAGTTTAAAAACTTTGAAATAACATGATACAAATACAAATACGCGCTCACACATATACATACACACATACATTCAAAATATCCTCCTCAGCTCAAACTTGTTTACATAAATCATTAAATAATAACTGTGTACATCGTACTTTAAATCGAGATAGAGTTGTACTTTCCTTGATATCATTACTCAGATTATTCCATTCCTTAATGCCATTTAAATAGAAAGAATTTTGTGCATTTGTCGTACGAACTTTAAATAAATGTAAATCATTTTTCTGACGAGTAGAATACGAGTGAATATCACTATTAATAACAAAGTTTATATTAGGAATTTCTGGCAATAGGCGATTTTGAAATTTAAACATAAATATGCGAGTATTAAATTGAATCAATTCAAAAATTGGGACTACGTGTGTTTTAACAAAAAGTGGCCGTTATGGGGCTAAATAATCAGATTTAGTAATAATACGCACGGCTCGTTTCTGTAACAAATAAAACTTTGATACTTTTCATTACAACAATCGAGTTTACTGACTCCTCTTTTGTCATTTTATTACATTTCTTTTCGGAAACGAATGCAAGGCTATTGAATTTGGGAAAATCCGATCATCCCAAATACCGCATAATTTATAACTATTTGTACTCCCCCCAAAATATTGAAAAAATTTAGTCACATGAAACATTTTTATACAAAATACATCGAGAGTACTGCTTTGTTTTCATTATTGCTGTATAAGTTTGACATCATAAGAAAATATATACTATTCAATCTCATTAGGCTTAACTAATCTGGAAAATAAGTATTTTGCGAAAAGTTTGCTGATACGTCCAATTTCGATAACTCATAGCAAGGCAGAATTCAACGATTAGAGAGTTGATAAAATACACATGTATCAATTAAAAATGTTTTACATTCATAAATGCTCTTCAATACGCTCATTAAAAGATATTTGTTTATGAAATCTGATATATATCTATAACACAGAAGTGGACTTTACATTAAATGCAATACTCACAATGTAAGCATAATAATTGTACACGTAAAGTTTGTCGATTTCATAATTCACAGCCATCTTATGTCATTCCAAAATATTTGTTTCATTAATCGTTATTATCTGAAGAAAAAAAATCGAAAAGAAATAACTATTAATAACAAAAGCTCACATCCATAATCCGTCTATTACTTTGTTTCTAGGCGCTTTACATATTATTGACCCGGTCATCAGATTCAGACTTACCCACACACGATGTATGTACATTCTCCACTCCCTGGGGAGCGTTCCGGCCAGTCGCCATTTTACAAGCGCCACTTGCTTATTCAATCACATTAACCTTCGCATTCTACCCGGTAACCATGTAACACCTGGATGGAGAGTGGCAAATGTAGATCAACGTGTTGCCAAAGGACATTAGTGCCATGTCGGGGATCGAACCACGACCTTCGAATTTCAGGTCAAGGGCTTAAACCACTCAACTACGACACTTCTACAAAGCAATCATATGCGATATACAAAACAATCGATTTGTCAACATCAATAGAATTGGCAGTAAGTCAGATGAGAGTTTTCGACCTCTTTCTCGTTTTCTTTCTTTAAAGATAGAAAATATCAAGTGTTACCTGGCAATAACGTTTGTTTATCATGTTCCGTTATGTAAAGACGCTATAGGTATTATATATATATTCATAGGTTTTAAAATCATATTCTAACTATACGTTATCCATATTAGTACTGAGAAAAAAAAATCGTGTATAAGCTGTTATTATAAGATGATGAGGCGGATCCTAACAAATGATTGGTTGAGAGCGTACACGTGACAGGGCATTTATTTTGCCTAACACGTAAATAGTAAATAATTTTGACCGGTCATTAGTGATATCAAGTTATAAAACATCACTATATAATACAAATAAGACATAATCTTATAAAACAAAGAATACACATCATTTTGTTCGGGCATAAGTAGAACAGGATATTTTCTTTGCATAATAACTTTTACTTAGCACAGTTAAATTTGATATATTCCTTTATAATTATACACACATGCAATATAAATAAACTGATTAAAATTCTGTCCATGCCGCCACCAATAATTAGGGTACAGAGAACAAAGTCCTTATCTTATCAATTTGATACTAAAACACAATGAATTGACTTAACCAATGGATAAGTATCATATTCAAGATAACAGTGTCTAAATATATAATAACAAATAAAATGAGAATATAATTCCTCAACATAAAATATAATTATGCACCAATCGGAATTGTGTTGACAGTAGAATTATAGGGCGTTTTAAGGGAGGTAGAAGAGCCAAGCATATACAGAGCAAAACACGAATGGATACAGAGTATACGAGACAGATGGAAAGCAAACAGTGGCCCTCGCAGAACTAAATTTCGTTAGACATTATATCTGCTTTGCATAATTACTTTTACCTTGCACAGTTTAATTTGATATATTCCTAAATATACACACATGCAATATATTGATTAAAATTCTATCCATGCCGCCCCCAAGAACTAGGGTACAAAGAACGAAGTCTTTATCAATTTGATACTAAAACACAATGACTTGACTTAACCCATGACCAAATATCATATTCAAGATAACAGTGCCGTAATATATTTACGAATAAAATATTTCGTCAACATAACAAATATACACCAATTCTAATTGTGATGACAATATAATCATAGGAAATGTGTCTATTAGGGAATAATAACCGTTTTGCAAAATTGTAAAAAGTAATATGTATACAGTGCAGAAATGCATCTCGGTAAATAAAAAGGGCGTAGGAGACAAGAGGCTGTGGGGCTGCATCCCTCTGAGGATGTTGACATGTTGCCAATATTCGGGCACCTTATATTATGTGGACAGCAAGATAGTAGTTCTCAAATATAGTTTTATGTCTTGTTTTTGACAAAATTAGATATCTGTATTAAAAGGTAACAAATTTCGCTCCCTTGCTTCGCTTACTCCAAAGTATAGAGACTGAAACTGGTGTTCAATATGTCAGCCCCCCCCCCCCCCTGGCACAACTGTGCCAGTACGCCTACGCCGAGGTGTCATACGATTATTGCCATTTCAGTCTCCGATTTCGAAACATGGAATAGTCAAACATGTCAAATAATGGGAAAATAAATAGAGCCTGAATTTGGTACAGATTGAAAGAAGAAAATACAAATTCAGTGAGAAAATAAAATGTATATGAAGAGTTTCATTCCAAAAGGAGCTAAATCCACTTTGGGTACTTCTGAGTAAATCGACTTTTTTATTTCTCCACTTTCCCTTTAGCCACGTACCTTAATGTTGTTTAATATGTTAAAGGTGTCACCCTGGACCAAAAATATATGTTAAGAAAAAATCTACTAGTTTTTCCTGATTTTTACTAAATTTTTAGATTTTTTTTTTCTCGTGGATTTAGCTCCTTTTGGAATGAAACATGATATTGTACCTGAAAAATTTCATATTTTCTTAATAAAATCAATGAAATTTATTCAAATTTAGTAGCAAACCTTTCCTTTTAAATAATAATACTGAAATCACAACTAAAAAAACATTTGAACTCTTCATATACAGCCCTGTCGCCATGATACAAATTAAAGGCTGCTTAAAGATGTGCCATCTGACATGTCGTGTGGTATTGAGTACTTCTCGAGGAATGGCAAGAAGAGTGGGAATACATCATTTTCCGCGTTCTTGCCAACGATAGAGTCTGAATGATTATAGGAAGGCACCATGAGACACGCATAGTGCTGGTCGGGGTGACTCTCCAGGCATCTTTGATGGCTCCGTTGGATCGATTTCTTGTCCCATCGGCTGTTCCGCTCTCCCGTGAAGAAGAGGATGGGAACATCAAGACGTGACATGGCTTCCTGGTACTCGGGATTCTCCAGGTAGTTCTTGGAATCGAACTTCGGAATGAGAGGCTTGTCCCCATCACGGTTGCACAGCATCTTCTTGTTAGCACACTTGGAAAGGTGCTTGAAGAGATCCTTGTTGGTGAAGCCGTTCCATTCATGCAAGGTGTCGTGGGTGCTCTTGTTTAAATTCTCGTGCTGCCATGACGGTCGGTACAAGAACGTCACACGGTGGCATACGTGGCTGTCACAGTGCTCATTGGCGGATGTCACGAAACTGGCATATCTATCTGAGACGACATTGAAGACTCTTCCCATCCAATTTTCGTTGGTGTCAGTGTACGCATCAACGCCATCGCCAATGAAATTTGGACCAGTGGTGGACGCTGCAGTGGGCTTGATGACAAACCCAAGCTGAGAAGACACGATGCTGCTAATCTTCTCCTTAGCGACAAAACCTCCGAGGAGTGAGGCAAAAATCACCAGTGATCCCATGCAATGACCAAAGACCTGGACGCTGGATACTTTGGTGGTCTGAAGAATGAGGTCAATGGCAACCGGAACATCGAACTCTGCCGCATCTATGACAGTGCATCCATCCTTGTGAGACGGTAGTGATATTGAGAATCGCATGTCCAAAGACCACACATCAAATCCTTTCTCCACCAAGTACTCCACCATGTTCTTGTTGACTGTATCGATTGTGAAGATGCGACTTGACACACCTAGCCCGTGAAGCAGTAGAATGGGACCTTTCTCTCCCCCTCTGTATCGCGTGAGGATAAGCGGTATGCCATCTCCTGCAGGGAGCTTCATCGGGACAATCTTGTCTTGATCCATTTTGAGAAGTCGTCTTTCCCTCGGAGGTGCATCAGGGTCAAAGGGCGTTGTGGATGGACTGAGGATGCCGTAGACCTCCCAGAGGGAACCGGCAAAAAACTTGCAGAACCTGGTCTTCCACCTCAATCTCTCAATCGCATTATGGCAATTGGTCACCTCGATGGTTGTGAGCTGCCTCATGAAATCCCGGATCTTGAGCTTCAGCTTACCTTCACCGACTGTCTCCACGGACGTGCCAGAACCTTTTGTCACGGTGAAGGTCATATGCGTTGTATCCGTCAAACCCGTTTCCAGAGCTCTATTCTTTTGGATGCATTTTTCACCCTTGAAGTAGAATACCTCCCCTTCGTGGTTAGTCAAAGTCATTTTGTAGACCATTTCTTTGGTCTCGACCTTGTCTTCGCTGTCGGCGAGCAGCTGAAAGATGCCATCAGAAACTGTCAGGGGAGTCTTCGACAGTGCATCACAACTCACAATGCCGTAGATGCCGGCGCGGTGGGTCGGATCAAGCTTCAGCATATGGTAGATGTCTTTCGACTCGATGGTTAGCTGGAAGGAAATTGGTATCTTCTCTCCATCAACTATCAGTTTTCCACTCATCTTTTCCGTGAAGCGGAATCCGGGTTTGGTCTTCCTGTATACCGTAGCTAGATTGAAAGTTGAAGAAAAACAAAAAAAAAGTAACAGCATAAGCAACACAATTCAACAGCACCGAATCGTCTTAGAAATGATGACGTTAATTACATGTTCATATATAATTATTGATAGAAAAGAGGTAGGGTAGAAAAAATGCTTACAGAGCGACCTTTTCATCATATTTATTAATGAAAATGATAGCTCAATAAAAAAAAAAAATTAATTTCTAAAAAATCTAAATGACAGTATCAATAAAAGAAATGAACCAACCTATATTTCTTCTTGACGGGTAGTCTATACTCCATCCCTCTCTATATGCTAGAAGACGTATGCACCGTTCAGCAACCATGGCAATGGTCAACGTTGGGTTAACGCCAAGACTGCGTGGCATGATTGCGCCATCAACTACAAGAAGCCCAGGATAGACGTTATCGAAATTTCCAACAAACACCTGGCCGGCATGGTTGACGACGCCATCCTTGCCAGACTCAGCCATGCAGCACCCACCCAATGGGTGAACGGTGATGACACCCTTGGTGTTCCTCAGCTCACTCAACATACCCTTCCAGAATGGGTTTGCGATGTGATGTCCTTCCAAGGCAGCCGTCAACTCCTTCGACCCCTCAAACATCTTCTCGAAGTTAGCTCCACCTCCAACCATGGGGAAATCCACCGTGACCCGCCCACTGGCCTTATCACGGATGAGTCTACCATCCGCAGAATCGTGGCTCATGGACAGTACAGAAAGAGTGTGCTTGATGGATTTGCCTGATATAGCACGTAGTGCTTCACGAGTGTTTTTACCATGTGAGAGTTTCAATCCAGGTGTGGTCTTCAGGAGGATCTTCAAGGGAGCCTCCCAAGCAACAGGTGGTGTCCCATCTTCAAGGACATACCCATCATCCAATGGGGCACTAGGGAGCCTCATGTCAATGACAGATGCAATGCACGGTCCTGGCCCATGCCCTGGTTTCACATCCTTCGTTTTGACGCCGACGCATTTGACTTTATGCGCCGTGTTGTAGCTAAAGTTCAGCGCGTCACCGTTTGTCGTGAAGCCTTCTCCCAGCCTATCAGACAGTTGCAGACCGCGCTGTTCAGAGTTCATCAAGATATTGGTGGATCCCAGGGACCCAGCTCCAAAGATGACGATCTTGGCCCGTACCGTCTGCTCGACCACATGGAAGACATCTTGGACCAACTCTTCGTAAAACACCTTCCACATGCCTTTAGACTCTTCTCGAAGGACGGCTTTCACTTTTGTCTGCATGGTGCGAGAAACAAAGAGAATGGGAGAAAATATGAGAGAGGTTTGAGAAATAGAAATAGAGGCGGGATTTTGAAAGGTATATATAATATAGAAAGAGGAAGATGTCAGAGAGATAGAATGGCAGCAAAAGATACTGATACTGCAATCGTATTATAAAAGATGGTTGGTACTATAATCGTACTAGAACGATTTGCATGCGTTGACGCCCGTGATTTCATGTGGCGGACGATAGAGCCCTTCTCGGACTATATAGAGGAATTTGTTAGAAGCCTGTAGCATATAGGATAGTGGGATGCTTAGAGATTAAGCCTTGATCGAGAAAGGGACCAATGGGATTTGGATGCCATGAAGAAAACGTGATGACGCGCGTTGTGGCTCAAACGACTGTCCTTACTAACATTATCATGAAGAGTATAAAATGGCGTCTGAAATGGCCCCCTTGACATATTTTTAAATTCCGACAAAGCTTGCAAAATTTCAAGAAAAAAAAAGGACGTAAAGGGGACGAAAAGCGATCTAAACAAATGCGGAAACTCGGCGGAATTCTTATAATGACCGTTTTCCTAATGCGATTTACTCTAAACTTTTTGTTTGAACAAATACCATATTTTGTATCATTCGAAAGGGCGATACACAGTAAGCATTTATACGTCTGGTTAAATCCAAATACAATTTGATTCCCGTTGATGTGCAGGGCTGCATACAACTCATATTTTGTTATTCAAACACCTAAATATATTTCATAGTTTTTTTAGATATTTGGTAAATAATTTTTCTCAGACGTGCTAAGCTCCACCCTAAGCCCCAGATCATTCATCTTGTGACATCATCTGTCAATCATTAGTGAGATAACAAGAAACAGTGGTATTTATCTTCCCCCAGCTTATCTCTCAACCCTCTTCCCTTTTTCTTTTCAAGAGAAAAATAAGCCACCCACCTGCGTGAAGATGTCGGCACCGAATGTCCTCGCGTCTGGCAGGTAGTTGAAGTTCAGGGTGTTCTTTGCACCTACGTTGCACCCTCCGACGCAATTGCCGCACCCGTTGCACGCAGGCTGAGGGATTCCGAAGTCGTTCTTCTCCGCGTGTTTGAAGTTCACATAGAGGGGTACGCTGTAACAAAATGGCATATTTTCATTCCAGAGTAATATTGTGGTCCTTTTTGACGAATCATTGTCTTTTTGTTTGTTGTGGGAAGAGGGTTTCCCCATTTTAGTGAAACTAATGTTTTCTGTCTTCTACCATGTTTTCTACCATGTATTCTTATTTAAACAAAAACTTACGCTCTTGTTACAAGATCAACTTTACGTAATGTATGTACAAGGGTATAGGAATACACATGAGGGAACACGAACGAGTAGTTTTTTTATCGAAATATTTTCAAAATGACATGCTGTTATAATTAAATGTGAACAAGTCTATTGACACCATTTCAACATTTCGATGAACATAGGTACACAGATTTTTGTCCTTTAAAGTTTAACACTCTTTATTAAATCCAGATCATATTTGAATTAAGGCTTTTTATGAAAAAAATTCATACGAGGAAAGATGAAAGCATAGTTTTACTTGGACATATTTATATCCGTAATATGAACAAAATATACCCCGTGTGATATTTTGATTTTCGTTTAACTATGAAACAGTTATTATCTTCATTTGCACTAGGCATTCCAATCAAAATCTTTACACTCTGGCTTGCCCTCCTTCTGTTTTCTAAAATGTTTACTATCACAAATTATTATAGAACTGTTTAATCTATTCTAAGTAACATGCCGTTACACGAGTGTGAAATTGTTTTTAAAAATCAACTTTACCTGCTGTAAACATCGGGTACAGAGAGATCCTCGATGTCCCTGATAAGACGAGCAGCTCCTAGCTTCATTGCCTTCATTTTTGCAAGTTCTGGAAAGTCTGTAGGGTACCTCTCGGGTTTCAACATATCAAACACGTGCTGTCTGTCGTCACCATACAGCATGGCCAAGTCTTCACGGATCTCTTTGGGCCAGCGCTAAAGGAACAAAATGATAGTATATAAAATGACAATGATCAATAATATTTACACTTTAAAATCATTTGAACCTATTATGATCTTACGAAAATCTGATAAAAACATTTCGATTGCTTTATTTGCTTCGTTGCACGCTCGCTAGTTTGCCAATTTTGCAAAAAGAAATAGACTCAGATCAACAGAAAGATCGTTTTGTGCAGCACAGTAGTTTTTAATAATTACCCATTACCGGTTTTGACTAGCTCCACGACAACCCTTTAAACACTGGTATAGATTGTTCTTGCGCCGGTCACTGCTAAAAGAAATCACCAGGATTAGCCTTAGCTTCGATGATCAATGGGCCTTATGTATAAATGATCTGTATTTTCCACCAATCACCCCATATGGAAAAGTCATTATCTTCAATTTCCCTCACCAAAGACTCTCTGAGAGACCTGGAGATATTTCTTGATGGGACTACGGGTCTGCTGTGTGCTCGACTTATTCACCCAGTAAACATCCATTGGTGGTATTTCCACCAAGTCTGGTGTCAGCGTATTATGACGTTCTGCACATGGAAACTGACGACTATCTCCCTTTAAAGTGCATTGATATCTTCTGTCCTAAAAGGCCCAACTGACTGAGTGTCATATTATATATGACAATTTTAACAAGGAACCACTTCCCTTTGCTTTAAACTGTACATAAGCTGATGGGTACTTATGAAGAAATAACCACGCTGAGAGTAAGCGAAACTATCGTGTTCTTTCAATCTATCAAAATGTACCATTATTATATTTCAAGGAAATATTCTATTTCTCCTTTATCCGTTTCTCCCTCTATTCAATTATTGATAGTATCACTCTCAGTGTAACTTAACTTCAAGATTTATTTTCTTGTTTTTTAGTCCAAAGAGCGAAAGAGGAAATGAAATCTAATGGATAATTTTTTGGTTTAAACATTTTCAACTTGTATTCCACTTTTACTTTTTCGCTTTCATTGTCTAACCAAATAATGATATCTAATGTAATTTGATAACTCCATCGCGTGTGTTTGTTTGTTTGCATATTTGTGTGTGTGATTTGTTAGTTTCTTTCTTTTTTTTCTTTTTCTTTTTTTGTGTAATTCTTAAAGAAAAGAAAAAACCTTCCGCAAACGAACAGTCAAATTCGGCACTGAACATGGGCACGGGCATCGAAACGTCCCCATCTACTTTTTCCAGAATTCTACATCATTCATTTTATCATTTACTATCATCATCAAATTACCATAATAATAATAATGTTAATGATAAATATAATAGTGAAATAAAGTTAAAATCTACCAATAGTAATGCTACAGATAATGCTAATAATAATAAGAGTAATACTAATAATGATAATAATACATGTACTAATGATATCATCATCATCATTATTATGATCATTATCTTTATCATCACCACCACCGCCATCGTCGCCATCGTCATCATCATCATCATCATTACCTCATCATCCATGACCCGCTTGTCGCATTCGAGAGCGACATTGGCGTTGATAAGAGACGTCCCTCCCAGTCCACAGCCCTGGAGGACACTGACGTCGGCACCGACCACCATGTCGAACAGACCCGTCTCTTTGCCTGGACGCCAACGAACACGGAAATTGGAAAAGAAATTAAACGAAACGTTACGAAAATGCAATCTCTCAGGTGAAAATTGTGCGTTTAATTTACAATAATACTCAAGAGCTTTTTGGTTTTCAAAGGAATAAGCGCCTCTGACCTTCTTTTTTAAAATTATTTGTTGAGATGTTGGATATTAACATTTCTGACAATTAATAATTTCCTGTTTTTTTTTTTTTAATTAGAAAGTGATTCTCCACCACATATTGTGAATGGCTATGTCAGGGGTTATGGATGGATGCCAACTCAGAAACCAGCCCCCTGTCTCCCTCTCCGATGCTTTCCGACCCCCCCCCCCCCCATGGCGCCCCTGTAAATTCCTTGAAATATATTTATGTGCTGTATACGCCTATTATTATCTATGGTATTAAAATGTCAACTTCATTCAAAGTCCAGAACGATACTGGATATTCTGATCTCTACCAACCTGGATTTGAATTTGAATTTGAATCTGAATTCGAAAAATGTTTTTTTTTCTTAATCTAAAGAAAAGAAAAAAAAAAATCGTCTCTCACCAAATACAGATTTATGTCCCGGCCTCGTCACCTGTAACTCGTTGACGGACTTGAGTTCGCTCTCGGGGAAGTCTCCCGGCCACCACTCCTTCCCTTTCTCCAGTACGCACACCGACTGACCGGCCCGAGCGCACCGACTAGCAGCGATTGATGCTCCGTATCCGGATCCGATAACCACCACATCGTACTCCGATTTGATTTCGGTTAGCGGCGAGGATAGTCGGTATGTCGAGTAGTCGTATTTTTTGTTGGGGGTCGGTGCCGTTCCTTTTGTGGCGGCCTGTTGGAATGACGGAAAAGCGAATAGGTATGGTTCCATGAAATTAATTCAAACGGAAGGAACACATGGAACAAAATCATTCCAGATGTACATACTGGGGTCATATCAAAGAACAACAGTATACATATTTTAAGAAATTACCGGCTACCATAGCATGTACTAAATAAGACTGAATGAATAAATGATCACTAAGTAAAGTTATTTTTCCAAGAAAACAAAATGTCAACAGTTTTTTACAAAGTGTTAGTAAAATAGACGAACCGCAATAAAACATAATCATACAGCAAAAACGTCCTGCTTCGAGACATAGAAAACTACACTGTGGTATATTGCTGAAGGCTCTTAATTGGTTCTCATATGTGAGGTTCTGGGCAGGTATTCATGCTTAGTGCTTATATGTTTGGACAATGTGTTTTAGCCACATGTGTCCCTATTGACTAATGTGTATTAAAGGCCCACGGCACTAGTTTGGCCAGGAGGGATTAGACCTCCCTGCATGGTCAATGACAGGTGGTTATCTCATCATATCAGCTCTCAATTAACATAAGAAAAATGTTCACCGATTAGGTATTGTTTGCTATATAGAGGGCGCAAGTAAGTAGTGCTGTGGGGCTTTAAATGGGTACCTGGAAATATTGGGGTAATAGTAGATGCAGGGTTAAAATATGCCCCCCCCCCCACGAAGAGCAGAATTAATCAAGAGACTATACCCTTGGTAAAGTTCCAGTTATATCATCGCCCAACAATAATATCATGAACAAATTTTCAAGAGGAAGAGGACGAGACTTTGAAAGGTGAGGTCATTTATCTAGGTACTGAATAATCAGTGACTACTACAATTTCGAAACCTTCTTCCTGGTTTTATTTCCTCTTCACGCTGCGCTTCCGCTTTACCTTTCTGTATATTTTCTTTCGACTCCCATTTCAAATTTGATATACATGACCTAAAAATCGCACGCAACAGGGAAAGGGATGTAGTATTCATAACCATGATAACCTAAAAACATGCTTTCAGCCATTAACAACTATGTTCATATGAATCCGTGTTATATACTCAAATAGAGAGCGAGAGAGAGAGAGAGAGAGAGAGAGAGAGAGAGAGAGAGAGAGAGAGAGACGGATAGTAGTTAGCAGCAGTAGTAGCAGTTGTTGTAGTAGTAGTGGTGGTGGTGATAGAAGTATTATTATTATTATTAGTAGTAGTAGTAGTAGTAGTAGTATTAGTAGTATTATTATTAGTAGTAGTAGTAGTATTAGTATTATTATTATTATTATTATTATTATTATTAGTAGTAGTAGTAGTAGTAGTAGTAGTTGTTGTAGAGGAGGAGGAGGAGGAGGAGGAGGAGGAGGAGGAGAAGTACTGTAGTAGTAGTAGTAGTAGTAGTAGTAGTAGTAGTAGTAGGCTAATCACAGCAGCAGTAGTAACAGTATAGTAGAAAAGGATAAGGGGAAGAATAACAAGAAAAAGAACAAGAAGAAAATAAAGAAAGAAGAAGAGGAGAAAATGAGAACTTACAAGTCTAGATTAGAAAATAATACATAGAATAAAACGATAAACCAGTAGAATGAGAGAGAAAGAGAGAGAGAGAGAGAGAGAGAGAGAGAGAGAGGGGAAGAGAGAGAGAGAAAGGGGGGGGGGGGGGGTAAGTCAGAGGGAGAAAGGATGACAATACGAGGCCTGCATTATATATTTTGTAGTGTCATGACAGATGGGACGAAAAACATATTTTCGTCAAAAACATGCTACCTTGTCCTTTAAAAGATATCAAAATCAATTTCTTGACAACTTAATGGTAACAATTTGCACTGCTGTTGTGTCATAGTTAATTCACACAAAATACTCTATAAACATGCACAGAACATAAATTGCCTTGATGTGCATAATGGAGTGGCAGAATAGTATCATCGTTGAATACTGCTGAAATGGTTCGATTGAATTATTCTCAATTTTTAAAGTTAATGCTTCGAATATTAAATTCGATATATTAAAGCATCAAGGCAGAACAACCAATTAAACAGGAAATGCAGGGCACATGCAACGTGTACAATCAGTTCCTGGCCATTAAAGATAAAGGTGAGTTCTGGTCATGCGATTGGAATGTGAAAGAAAAGGTGTGTAATGGATCAGAAAAAGTTGACCTTGTAGCATGTAAGTATTGGTGTGCACTGCAAGGTTCTGGAGTCATCAAAATCATAATAAACTTGGCCCAGTCTTGGTAAAGTAACAAGCACTGTATATGGAACTATGTGTGTCGGGGCTACCTACCTTGATTTCCTCATCTTTCTACAGCTCATTACTCAGCCGGTATACATTTTCTTCCAAAATTGTTTTGCACATGACATTTATTTGTAATCTTGAACATTCAGTTTCGTTTGATTCTGTGAGAATTCATTTTCTTTTTTATAACCAGAACTCAAATGTATCTTTAAGGTCGACAACAGAAACGGTGTCAAGGCATTTTATTGGTTGAGTGAGAGACAGTGGGATACAATTCTGACTTGGCTAGCACCGAGTTTCAAGACTTGAATGCACATACTGTGAGTGCACGTCACTTTATCATCCGGGAAAGGTACAAATGGTACTTCAAAATGTGCATAAACGGCTAAGGGTTTTAAATCTAACAATAACGTTCTAAGTTTGATTGTTGCTATCAGTTGTGAAGGTTGCACGTCACTGGCTTCTACAGCATATTAATTGCTCTGCGTCAATTTCCTAAACTAACCGAATTCTACACTCCAACCCTTGGACCCAACACGATATCCAAACCTTGTTTGCAGGCACAAACCCTTGTAAATATATACATATTTAATTGAACAGTGTCCGCATTACGAGACTACAATAATAGACTCTGTACTTTAGCCACACGCAGCCAGACCTGACTGGTCTAGCCTCTGCTGAAGGCGTTATTAATTATGGTAAAATGTTAAATGGGTGTATGTGCTGGCATACTAAACCTAACCCCAGCCCTGGCCCCATAAACTCCAAACATAACCTAAAACCCAGTTGGAACCATAACCATAACCCTAACCATAACCCTATACCTTCGACAAAATAAAGCTCGGGATATTGTCATAGGAGCACATTCCGGATAAATCTGTTTATCTGGATACAAGGCGATTAATTTAAAGCCCGTCTATACTAGTTTGGCAAGGGGAGATTCTCTCCCTGCAAGGTCACTGACAGGTGGTTATCTCATCAAATCAGCTCTCAATAATATTAACATACGAAAAAGAGGATCATGGGGGACCAACAGGCCCCGATTAGGCATTGTTTGCTATATTGAGGGCGCAAGTAGCTCTAAGTAGTGCAGTGGGGCTTTAAAAGAAACATTCAGAAAATACCATGCCTGCCAGCCTACTGAAGTATGCGTTAATCCTGTGTAATCTATATAGTCTGTGGAATCGACTAAGGCTATGTAAATTAATAAAGCAAAAGCGAGTCACATAACCTGTGTGTAAATCAAGCAATATTCACTTTTGGATATAAAGTTGGAACAGGTTTTTCTGACCTATTTTCATGAAATCATTTTGGAAATATGATTTCTTATTCAGAGATAAAGTTAACAATTTCTCAGAACTTTATCGAACGATATAAAAAGTCAAAGCGATTGATGAACACGATTCAGGGCGGATATAAACTTTATCCATCAAGAACAAATCATATTTTTATAATCATTTCATGGAAAAAGGTAAAAAAAAAACTTAGTTCGCAACCCAATAAACCATATCTTTCACAATCAGAGGCTTTATATTACGCGGTTATTGTAGGTTTTGAATTTTCTTTCTTACGTAATTGTCATGGAATGCTTACTTTTACCTTAAACTTCAATGATTAAAATATATTTTTACAATCATTTTATGGAAAGAAGGTAAAGGAAAGAAATACATATTCCAACTGTAGTTAGAGAATAATATCATTCTCACGGTATTTTGATGAAACATAAAATTGTTGCAACTTTATTTGCTTAATGTAATATAATTATTGTATGTCAATTTGGTTTAAAGACGTATGCATTTCTTTATTTTATATGTCACTGTATTTGCCATACAAAAGCTTAGTTTCACCATGAACCTAATACAAAATTGGACATCAAGAGAAATGTTCTTCACTGTATAAATCAAAGTCTGGGATTATCCATAATTTTTTGCTAATAAAAAACCCAAACATTATTCATAGCCCGCAAACATTTGGAGATATTTTTCATTCTCTGCTTGGACGTTTTTCCCTATGCAATATTAACACCTTTTACCATGCTCACTACACATTTGACGGAATAAAGTCCAAATCTGGTCGGACGCATACTGTAAAGTAAACTAATGACATTTTCCCCCGGCCTCTTGACTTTGACAATCATAAACTCTACCCATTTCTATTACCCTTGAAGGAGGAATTTAGCGAATAAAAGAGGAATAATGGCGGTATTCTTTAATGATCAATGAGCATTTGGATTTTTTTCTTTCTTAAAAATACATGTATTTACATTGTTTGTATAGAATTTGAAAAGAAAAAAAACTCAGTCCACAATGTAAATCTATATACTGCATGGGCGACCCCGTGCGGACTTTGGACTCGCTACATAATTTGCTGTGTCTACGAGCTTGTCTCTGTTGCTTTTATAACACCGGGGGAGTGTTTCACAAAGACTAAGATCGACTTTAAGTTGTACATATCTATGGCACGCCGTTTATACCACTATTTTCTCTCATCATTTACTGGCATTGGTTAATCTACATAATTTACATTTTTTGATAGTTCATTATTGAAGAAATAAATATTATCTTAAGATCATAATTGAGAGACCAATGGTGAGAGCAACCAGTGCCATGCATGGCCTGCGATAGTTCAGTCCAACACAAAGTCGATCGTAGTCTTTGTGAAACACCTCCCTTGCATGTCCAATACCTGGTTTTATTGCCTTGTACCAATTGAGGGTTGTTACACAATACCCTAATATGGTGTTTAAAGTTTTCCAGACAAATACAAGGTAGTACAAAGTGTATGCCTATATCAAACAGTGGTCAATGTTAGGGCGACCATTGAAGGCTAGTGGATATATACAATGTATGTGGAGGTCCTATACGGGCCTAGTATAATATCGGATACACAGAACTACTGAGAGCAAAAACCCAAAATGGTTGCTAGGCACTTCCATCCACTCCCAAGTGATGATATAATCATTTAGCATAGTTCGAATCCGCGTTGTACTTCTAGAAAAAAACATATTAATGCATGTTTTTGTTCAATATTTAAAAATAGAACGCAAAAGCATTCTACCTTTCAAGGAGAATGGCGGACCAATTCTCCTACTTTTACATCCTGTATATATCCGGAGTAATCGTATTTCAGGGCGGGTATACATTACTTGTATATAGCTACATACGCCCTCTTTATAACAAACAATGCCTAAGCGGTACCCGTTGGTACCCATGATCCTCTTTTTCTTATGCAAATTGAGAGCTAATTTGATGAGATGACAACCTGTAAGTGACCACACAGGGAGGTCTAATCACTCCTGGCCAATCTAGTTCAGACACTAAAATATGGTAACTGGAGAAATATCATGTTGAGGGAAAAAGATTGTCTACTTGGACAGGGAACCCTGACCCACCTTGTCCTCATTCAAGCGCATACAATTGTGATTATCTCAGGTGATGTGGTCTAGTGGACAAGGGCGCATAGTACGAGGTTTGAATCTCTGCCACGGCACCACCTAAAATGAATGGATACCTTGTATAGGAAGAAATTCCTTGATCGGGGTAGCGTGGCTACATGAACATTTTGTTTCATAGAGAGAGAGAGAGAGAGAGAGAGAGCTACATGTAAATATCCAACCCTCATTATTGTTATTATCTTAATTCTTAAACCAACTAATTTCGGTTCACAAACGATAAAACACAATTTCTACCATTTCCAAGACCAAGACGGTACCTCTAAAGGCAGGCTTTACTACTTCAGCTAGAAGGGATTAGACCACCCAGCGAGCCAGCGAGGTCACTGTGACTGGTGGCTATCTCATTAACTCAGCTCTCATTTAACATAAGAAAAAGAGGATCATGGGGCACCAACAGGCACCGATTGGGGAAGTTTTCTATATAGAGGGAGCAAGTAGCTACAAGTAGGACAGTGGGGCTTTAAACCAACTAATTTCGGTTCACAAACGAAAAACACTTTTTTTTACCATTTCCAAGACCAAGAAGGTACCTTTAAATAAACTGTAACACGACTCATGTTCATGGATTGGAGGGAAAGGATGTAACAGTAAGCGGAAGGAAGACGGCTGTACTGTGACATCCTTACCTTTATCGGGTGGGTCACCAGCCAGCATCTACAGGCAGAATCCATTTAAAGGGATTGGGTAACATTGTCTTAGATTCTGAAAACAAAATCCTAGATTCTGCTCATGCTGCAATGATAATTATAAACATTTAGGTCAGTAAGGAACCCCATGACTTTTAAAAGCCGATCGCCTGCCTGATTACCAAGATATTTATGATTGGAAATCGAAATCAAATTGTGCGTTTCCTAACGGTTTTCATAACACTACAGTCTATTGGGGGAAAACAAGTATGGTAAATCCGGTCACTCAAGGTTTTTTATTTTTTGAGGCACTTCTTGATAATTTCAAGCGCAATTTCTTTAGGGCTTCAATATTACACCATGTCGCAGAAACTGATAACACGTATATGGACGTGCATCGCAGATTTAACATTGTTAAACGATACCTTTAAAATTGACTTCTGATACAGGTAGTGGGAGATGCATGCTAGCTATCTCAGTCTTATTTTATTCCTTTTCTCCATCGGAGCGCTAACGTGCATCCAGATAGTTATAATATATAAAGGGATATATATAACTTTGGGAGGGAATGCATTTGTAATACCATTCCGATAATACCGTGGAAGCATATTTTAGAGTGTACCTCACGAGTTAGTTTTGGCGTTGCATGATATGACACCCTGATTCGTTAACTACTTCACATGATACTTCATGGTAACACTGCGGAATACAAGAACGGTGACTACCAATCTTGGAAAAATACAAAATACATGTACAATAGGGATCTACAAGAAAGAGATACAGATATAGAGGTAGGAAGAAAGGTTGAGAGAAAGTGAGAGGGGCAGACAGACCAGCAGGGAAAATAGAGAGAGAGAGAGAGAGAGAGAGAGAGAGAGAGAGAGAGAGAGAATGGGAGAGAGGGGGGGGGGGCAAGAGAGAGAGAAGGACAGGGAAATATGCAGACAGATAAACAGACATGGACACAGAGAGCGAGAGAGAGGGAGAAAGGGGGATTACCGTCCCCGCCCCTTCTTAAACAAAAACCCTGGTTCAATCATGGACCTATTGGCCCGAATTCACAAAGCAAGGTTTGAGCTCAGACCAACGTTTGAGCTCAAACCTCCTTTTGTTCTTTACAAACCAGGTTTGTAAAAAAACGCGTAAAACGCGTCATATGACGTACGAAAACCAAGGTTTGTCGACAAACCTCTTTTGTGAATTCGGGCCAGTAGGTCCATGGTTCAATAAACACGAAGAAGCTTAGAAGGAGAATAACCTTCCAATTTGTTAATTCCAGAGAGGTCTCATCTCCCTGTTAATGCTGACGATTATGAATTGTAAAGAAGAATCGTCGGTTTCGCCGCACTAAGGTCCTTGAAAGCGCCATTTATATTCACAATATATGAAGTATAATGAGGAAGGACGATTATGACGAAGAAAGGGATAAGGAGGATGAAGAGGAGGAAAAAGAAAAGGAGGACTCGGTTGACGAGGGGATGAAGAGCGAGAGAGATAGAGAGAGATTTTTTTCTGCATAACTAATTAGGTATAATTAGCACGTTCTTATTAAAAATATTCTACCTATGCAATATTGTAAATCTCATGATATCTATCACCATGCCAAATTGTGAGTTGACTGGAGTTTCGGTTGCCGAGATCTTAGGGGCGGGCCCCTTTAGCCCCCCCCCCCACATTTTTCTAAAGGTTCTTCCACATTATTTCTATCTGAGCATCATTATATAAGTCCAACTTCTAAACGCCTCGACGGCGCCACATCTTCTCTTTTATCATTTATATTTAACGACAATTTCACTTCTAAAGGCACAATGAACTCCATCACTTCTAGGCCTATTATCTCTTTCCGTATTACGTAACTGATTTCAGTTTTGCATTGCTTCACTTGAAGTTTAAATTACCAGTTTTGTTTTCCATTTATGTAATTCTACGCTGAAGTAAACTGCGGGCGATTCCTCGAATCATTTAGTTTCAGTTATATGATCTGTACTGTCTTATTACTCAAATTACTTCCATTTGATCAATTCATGATAGTATATGTATCTGTTCATTTCAGAATTGTATCTTTTGGTATTACAAATAATTTAAAATAAAAATAGTTCCAATTGGCAATCACTGTTTCCGAAAAAACTATTTATCTTTATTATTGTTTGTAGTATGCTTATACCAACTACTACTGTTTACATCAACATCTTATGAAGTATTCTGATGAAGGACGGAGGGGGGGGGGGGGGGGAGGGCAGCCAGGCAGTGAAAAAGAGATAGAGAGAAAAGGGGGAGACAGGCAGACAGATAAAGAGGCAGGGAGAGAGAGAGAGAGAGAGAGAGAGAGAGAGAGAGAGAGGAGAAATTAGCCCCCATCCCTCCTTGAAATAAATCCCTCCGTTCAATCAACAATAATATCATGAAGGAAAAATAAGCTTCAAATAACCTGACAACTAGAATGGTAACGAAGATTAGTCGGTTCGCTGCACCAATGACGTCTAAGATAATTCTTCATGTACAATGAGGTGGCTCTAAAAGCGTCGTTTGTCTGTTCTTCCCTTTTTTTGCTATATCTGAGCATCATTATATAACTCCAAATTCTATACGCCTCGACGGCCCCACATTACCTAAGAAAAACTGTTTTCCTCTTTTATCATTATTTAAAGGTAAAGACCAGTATTGGAAACGCCCCAATTTCAAAAAATGAAATGGAAGCTCTCATTACCAATCATGTGAAAGAATATGTTTTGACTAATACATGATGATAAAAAATTTGCCGGGAAACCGCCTACTAATTCATATATTTGGTAAATTTGTTTCTCTCATGGTCTGTGAGAGATATAGGGTAGTCCCATATACGTCTTTCTGTGTATAGTGCTTGTAACTTTACGAAGAATGGGCCAAATTTCTTATCATTTTGATGATTCCAGAACCTTGCAGATGCTAGATGCTAGATGATCAACCTTTTCTGATCGATTCCACAACGTTTCTTTCACAATGCAATCGCATGACCATAACTGGTCTTTACCTTTAATGACAGTGTCACTTCTAAAGGCACTTATTCTTAACTAAGCAAATAGTTGATGAAACGCCACAAGGTCCGCGCTTCAAGTCCCGCTGCGGCACTATTGCCCTTTGGCAAGACATTGATCTACATTTGCCATTCTCCACCCAGATATAAAATGGATACCCGGTAGGATACGAAAGCTAATGTGTGCGCTTGTAAAAATGACGCCTGGGTGGAATGCTGGGGAGAATGTGCATAGTACGTTGTGCGCGGGCAAGCCTGAATCCGATGACCGGGGTAATATATATATATATATATATATATATAGCTATAAGAACGAGCTACATGTATTATTATTATTAATATTTAATTCATGGGTGGAGACTGGAGAGTGGCAAATGATTATTAAAAGTTGCAAAAGGACGTTACTGCCGGGCTGGGATTCGAACCTTCAAGCCTTTGGATTGAGATTCCTGCGAATAAACCACCATCCAAACACACCTCCACTGACAATCATAACTATGTCACCATACAATTCCTGCCTCAGGTGTAGTCCTGGGGAACGTCTGCTAATTGCTGCAGACCACTAGTCAAATCCTCAAACCACAAGACCATCGAACAAAAATGGACTTACCCCCCTTTTCGGCTCTCGACCATTCCTCTGAAGGTTAGCCATGTTATCATGTAAACTCTTGACTGGTGTCTCGTATTAACAGTCTCTTGCCTCAGATCATGTACCTTCTGGAACACCAGGATCCTCGTTTGGTGAAAGAGAGATAGCAGGCCTATCGATGAACGCAACTGTTGATAGACCGACAGACTGAGTCCTCGACCAATATCCACATCCGTACAAAAGACCAAGCTATTAAAAACAGTCAGCTGCGATTGTACAATAAGTACGCCGGCCCTGCTCCTCCAACATGTGTAGCAGATCCGTTCAACTGTGACACAATACCCAAGCACACAATGCAAAGAGTGTGAGAGAAAAAAGAGAGCATATCACAGTCTGAGTTTCAGATTTTTGCTCTATTGTTGTGATTCGCATTGTCAATATATAACGCGGAAATTCGAGTTCTTTACGTCATGGGAACGTACGCTGCGTTTTCAAAATATTGACCTTTTATATGCATCCACTATGTTGACTCCCTACAACGGAATAAATATGACCCGGACCACAGAAGGCAATAGGAGAGGGTGGTTGGTGTTAAGTGGGCGGGGCTTATTGGTTTATCCTCGGAATTTGTCATCGTTTCACTAACTATAGCATTAAATAGCATTACGCCTATTTCAATTCATGCATTAACCATAATAACCTTGTCTATACAACCATATTAACAATGAACAAATATTATGATAATGAATTGACTAAAAACTACACTAATAGATTATTACTCATTATTAGCTTAGAATGTCAAGAGTAGAATGAAAGAGAAAGAATTGAACTTATTTTTGTTTTCGGTCAATCAGCATCAAAGAGTAGTGTTAAAAATAACAAAACAATTTACAGTGCTGATAGTTTTCAATGATATGGGTTTTGGCCTGAATATAGTAAGTGATTTCCGGTATGCCTTATTAGTCCATGTATTTTCTTCCTCCTCCTATACGATCGCAAAGATTTCAAGAAATCAACTTAAGGAAAATATGATATCCTTGTCTGTAAAATTAATACCTTATAACAAATAATGTACATGTAGGTATCTATTATATGTTTAATTTTATTACCTCTTCGAATTTATTGCACGCTACACAAGCACGAACATCATCATTGAAATATCAGTTGTTGTACTGCTTGCTATGATTATAATAACAATCTTTTAGGGGATGATTATGATTATACATTTACCTGATTGAAATGGAAAAAACTCAAGAAAACATGTAACATTTCTTAGGAGTTAAAATGATGAACCGATTCCGAAATAACGGCTAAATGTAAAATGAGAAGTAAATCAAACCACTGGTTCCCATTCTGTTACGAAGACTGTTGTTCTATATCTATACCTCCCCCTCTCTCTCTTCTCCCTCCACCCCCTTCTCTCTCTCTCTCTCTCTCGCTCTCTCTCTCTCTCTATCTCTCATACCTCCATCCCCTCCCCTCTCTCCTTCTATATCTCTCTCTGTTCTTACTCTCTCTCTCTCTATACCTCTCTCTCTCTCTCTCTCTCGCTCCCTCTCTAACTTCTCTTTATCTCCTTCTATCTCCTCTTTCTCTCCCCTCTCTCTCTCTTCTCTTTCTCTCACTATCTAATCTATCCATTCCCTTTTCTTTCCTGTCTCCCTCTCCCTCCCTCTTTCTTCCCCCTTCTCGCTCGCTCTTTCTGTATCCCCCTTCCTTCCCCTTCCTCGTTTTCTCACTTCCCCTCCCACCCCCACTCTTCCTTGCTCCCCCTCTTCTTCATTGAAATTTTTTCTCCAAAATTGATAATAACGCAGAATAAGATCATGTTATATTTAAATTTGATTTATTTACCAACATCAATACATTTCTTACAATAATTTACATATACAAGAAGAGAAACTATTGGTTGGTAAAAGGGGCCAGATGATAGCCCATGTGCTAGTCGAGCCTAACCCGTTAAACAGCTAAACAAAGTATGTTGGTACAAATCAGTTTAGAAAACGTAACAAAATTTGTTAATGAATTTCTTGTCACTTTGACTCTCATCATTGTTATATTCGCCTTTAGATCTATCCACATCCCTTAACTTGAGCCGCTACTTTGCAGGATAATAATATCATCTTTCAGGAATTAGTTTCGAGTAAGAATACTTTTTGTTTTTTTCATCTATTATTACCAAGTCGCGATATCGAAAGCTTGAAATGTACTGTGATTTATATTGCAATTACGAAAGATAAATTCTCACGACTTTATTTGAAAGTCAATCCGTTTCGGAACTTAAACCTGATGATATCATATTATGTTACCACTATTTTTTGTAAAGAATGCTAAATAATGAGCTAAATTAGGATGAGGAAATGGAGCAAGTAGCCCTAGCTAAGTGTTTCCACGCCTGTCCTATGTGCAGATAACAGTTTTGCGTACTTATGAATATGATTTTCAGTATTTACTTTCCATATACTGTATCAGGATGATTATCCTAGATATGAAATTCACCTGGACTCGAGATTGGCCGCAAGGATGCCGGTGTTTTTAAAATAAATAATTGACATACACGTAGTTGATCATTCATGCAGTTGAAAAACAATTCTTCAACTTGCAACATGTTGCAGAAGGTATGCTTAATGATATTCATATGCATATTCAGCTGCACTGCTAAAGCCAGGGTAATTATGCTGCATTGTTGTAGAGCGCTTAGAGATTTCTGACAAAGTAAGTGTTAGGCGCTATATAAGCACTGTAATTATTATTATTTTATTGAACAATTACCATGATAATAATGTTGATTTGTTCGTTCAAATATGAACGGTTCGAATACATGTTTAGACATGAAGGGAATAAAGATATCGTAGGTAGATTTGATTCCGGGAAGAAAGTCCAACAAGCCTCGATCCTATCGGTAAACAAAGAGTACTCGAAATAATGATATATATATATATATATAATTTGTCTTTATTATTTTGATAAGCACTGATCGATAGTGATTCTTATCGTATCAGTGCATGCTTAGACTCTACAGTGCGATAGCTCAGTTATACAAAGTAAGTGATATTGATATCAAATATGACAGGTTCTAATACATGTTTAGACTTGAAAGGAACAGAGAGATATTATAACCCGGGAAGAAAGTCCAACAAGCCTCGATCCTATCGGTAAACAAAGAGTACTCGAAATAATGATATACATATAATTTGTCTTTATTATTTTGATAAGCACTGATCGATAGTGATTCTTATCGTATCAGTGCATGCTTAGACTCTACAGTGCGATAGCTCAGTTATACAAAGTAAGTGGTATTGACATCAAATATGATAGGTTCGTATACATGTTTAGACTTGAAAGAAACACAGAGATATTATAATCCGAGAAGAAAGTCCAACAAGCCTCGATCCTATCGGTAAACAAAGAGTACTCGAAATAACAGTATATAAGATTTGTCTTTATTTGAAAAGCACTCATTGATATTGATAATTATCGTATTTTAGTACATGCTGACTCTGTGATAGCTCAGTTATACAATGTAAGTGATATCTCTTGAAGTTTGTTCTATTTAGGATTTATCTACACTACGTTCGGGCCAAGCAATTGGCGTAAATTGGAGGGGAGAGAACTACATCAGAAAGACCAGAACAAACAAAAAGCAGGAATGAAATTGAAAGGGAGAGGAGAAAGGGAACATTAAATAGGAGCAGCGCTCAAGATACACGGGGGCGGTGGGCGATTCGCCCCCGTGAGCTACATAATCGCCCCAGTCAGGTTGCTCACGGGGGCGATTGCAAAATTAAAAATCGCCCCCGTGGAATTATAGAATAAAGATTATCTTTTCTGTTATAACTTTAACACAATATTTAGTTTCAATTTTCAAACCTTAAACCAATGAAACGGAACTTAGATTAGCGTGCAAGATTTCCCGTTCTATGAGTAGGCCTATTAATTATTACCGATTCAGCTTGCAGTGCAGTGCCGCCGTCAGCAGTGGTTATAGGCCTACTGCGCCGTTAGTAACGGTACGTGTGCACGCTGCCGCGCCATGTCTGCTGGAGCTGGAGGCGACCGCGCAAGTCATGGTCATGGAGAAGTTTTTCGTTGTGAAAGCGTAAACCCGCTAAAATCTGGTAATTTTAAATGACCAGCAAATAATGAACCACGACCAGTAAATCAATATTAGGGACTTTTAGATTTGCACGATGAGAACGTGGACTGCAACGTGTGACCTCCTTTTAAGGCACTGCCAGTGCTTAAAAGGACGTCACATGTGAGGGGGCTGGATAAATGCACATATATTTGTTTTGGGGGGTCCAGTTTTTTGGGAACATTTTTGGGCCGACTCAGCCGGCCGGTGAATATTAAAGCGGGGGGATGCTGGAGAGGAGGACTACTAATCTATTTAATTTTTTTCAAGGGGGGGGGGGGGGGGAGTGAAGCGCCGTTTTAGCATAACTTTCTTTTTAACTCTTACTTTCACCTATCTCAGATAACCCTAAGTTTTTGGTTGCTGCTTTATTATGTAGTTGATAATGCATGATTAAAATAAAGAGAGAGAGAGAGAGAGAGAGAGAGAGAGAGAGGGAACCACCATCATTTTGCAATGGTTCAGGGTTTGTGTAATGTACATTTGAAACCATTTCTTAGCGTCTCAACCCTAAAAAAATATCAAAACTATTTTTGAGGAAAATCATTATACTGAACTGAATAAAGAATAATAGCTTTATATTGGCTCATACTAATACTGATACGAGCTAAAGTATTTATATAGAGGTATTCCAAAATGACATTCTGATAATCAATATTTTGTTCTGGTATCATATGTATATACGCAGGGCTCAAATTAATTTTTTATCAACGGGGGCTCTCCCCCCCAAAAAAAGAGCCCCCCGTGAGCCTTCTCACGGGGGCTCTTTTAGTACTGACGGGGGCTCTTTTTTATACAAATATCCATTGAATTGGTACCTACGATACTCCTCAATTATTTGCTATTTCATCATTATCATTTCAATCAGCATTTTCCCTCTTACAAATTTACAAGCTACATATAGCTGTTACTGGCCTGTGTATATAATATATACGCATACAACACTGATCTTTATGATGTCTTTAATGTGACATATCTTCTTCTCCCCTTGCAAACGAGAAAGAAAACAAGGTCATTAAAAGGGATTAAGCGACAAATAATGATTGTGATTCAAATTGATGCAAAGAAAGAATGTAAAGGTTGCTCCGAATAATGAGGAGGAAATAATGTGCAGAACGGGAAAAAATCGAGAGAATGTCATCAGGGGATGAAAGTCAGTAACAGCTATGTAGCTTGTATGGATATTTGTATAAACAAGAGCCCCCGTCAGTA